AAAAAAAAAAAAAAAGGAAGTCTGAAAACCAAGAGAAAAATCAAAAACTTGAAGAGAGTACTCGGTAATTTTTTTCATCGTTTTAGAGTGACGATCAGTGACATAAGCGTTAAATTACTCTCAGCTACGAAGTGCTTAGACTGGCGGATGATCTAAATTAATCCGGGAATGGCCACCTGCTATTCACACTAGGCCTAGAAGGTCTTTTCTTTTTTTAATTTTTTTAACGCTTATTTATTTTTTAGAGACAGAGAGAGACAGAGCATGAGCAGGGGAGGGGCAGAGAGGGAGAGGGAGACACAGAATCGGATGCAGGCTCCAGGCTCCAGGCTCCCAGCTGCCAGCACAGAGCCCAACGTGGGGCTCCAACTCAGCGACAGCCAGATAAGTCGGACGCTTAAACAACTGAGCCACCCTGGGGCCCCTAGAATTTCTTTTACATAACTCCCAACATCGGGTGTCAGCACTATCCCATTGAGATATAATGCAAGCCATGCATACATTTTTTAAATCTTCAGTGGTCACATTTTAGAGAATAAAAATAAACCGGTGAAATTAACTTCAATAATATACTTATTCAATTAATATATCCACAATGTAATCATTTGAACATGCAACCAACATAAAAATTGAGAATTTTTTAACACTCAGTCTTTGAAACCCAATGTTGATTTTACATTTACAGCACAACTCAAGTTGTACTAACCACATTTCAGGTGCTCAGTGCCACAGTGGCCAGTGGCTGTGCACTGGACAGCACATTTCTAATTTAGAATGATGGCTCGGGAGTGCCCGGGTGGCTCAGTCGGTTGAGCATCTGACTCTTGGTTTTGTCTCAGGTCATGATCCCAGGGTCACGGGATCGAGCCCCGTGTCAGGCTCCGTGCTGAGTGTGGAGCCTGCTTGAGATTCTCTCTCTCCCCCTGCCCCCTCCCCTGTTCACGCTCTCTCTCCGAAATAAAAAATTAAAACAGCAACAACAACAATGGTTTCAGATGGTATTTTGGCAGAAGCCCATCTTCTTCAGGTGGAATCTTAAGCTGAATCCCATTATGTAAAATGACCAAGCAGAGCTGCTCGGATTGGAGCGCAGAGCCCCGCCTAGAATGCCCTCATTCGCTCCTCCTTCCTGCCCCCAGGGAGTCCCTTGAGGCAACTCCATGAGAACTACCATACCGTGGTTCCCACCCTTTACCTATCTGCAACTGACTCCAGTCTTAGAAAGAATTGGCCTTCCGGAACAACCTTGCATCAAGTAACCATCCATTTGTGTTCTCTTATTTTCATTCCAGAGGCACACAGAGTTGCTGCTCAAAACTTCTAATCAGAATAAGATAAATGGGAGAACACATTGAATTGGGGGCGGGGTAGGAGGGTGGTGGAGGGTTGGCATTGTCATTGGCCGTAGGCCACATCGTAGTAAATACAGTGTTGGCTTTCCGTTAGGTTTTTTACCACTCTTTGATGCCACTATTACTAGCTGTGTGGGGCCTTTATTCCAACTGGGATTGCCAGATACTCTATATTTTGAACTCTATAACTCGATGCGCTAAATCTGATGCCCTACGAGCAGCGCAATGGGCTGCAGCACGTGGTTTTTATTCAAGCCCAGGCAGCCATCGTTAGGTAAGTTAATGTCTCAACCTCAGCCGATCAAAACAGAATACCAGCTTTTCAAGATTTTTTTTCTTTTGTAGGGATTGTAGAAATTATTAGTGATGTTGTAAGCACAGCTGGGAAAACTATAAATTCCTTTAATTGAGTCTGAGATAGCCCGGGTAGATGAAGGGTGATGGTTCCGAGGATTCCCGGTCTCAAAAGTACATCAACACATCCAGACAATGAAATACTATTCAGTGCTGAGATGAGCTATCAGGCCATGAGAAGACACGGAGGGAGCACAAATGCGTATTCCTAAGTGAAGGAAGCCAATCTGAAAAGGCCACACTGTGATGCCAACTGTATGACAACTTGGAAAAGGGAAAACTATGGCGAAGACAGTGACAGGTCAATGGCCGCCAGGGGTGGGGTGCAGGGAGAGAGGAACAGGCAGACCACAGAGGATTTTAGGGCAGCAAAAGTATTTCTGTATGATATTATAATGACAGGGAGGTATTATTATTATACATTGGTCCAAATGCTTAGGATGTACAACACCAAGAGAGGACCCCAAGGTAAACTAGAGACTTCGGGTGATAATGATACGTCTATATAGGTTTATCTTTGGTTAAAAAAAAAAAATTACCATTTTTTTTCACTTTTGTTTTTATTTATTTTGAGAAAGAGAGAGAGAGAGCGAACAGGGCAGGGGCAGAGAGAGAGGGGGAGACGGGATTCCCTAAGCAGGTTCCGCTCTGTCAGTGCAGAGCCTGATCATGGATCTCACGACCCATGAGACCTTGAGCCAAAATCAAGAGCCTGACGCTCAACTGATTGAGCCACCCAGTGGCCCCCCCAAATTTTCCATTCTGGTAAGTGACGTTGAGTAACGGGGGACGCCAGGCCTGTGCGGCAGCAGAGTCCACGGACGGTGTCTGTACCTCCGTCTCTATTTTGTTGTAAGCCTAAAACTCCTCTAAAAAAAAAAATAGTCTTAATCGGCACATCTGCCGCCGTGAGAATGTATTCAAAGGATGGCTGGTCACAGCTGGGTAAATCTCACAGCAGTTCAGTTCGGGCCGCCTCCTCCTGTGTTTGACTTGAACTCCAAATGTACCTGGCTGAAGCCTCCCACATGTGGTGCTCATTTAGACCAGCAGCCTTCGTCCCCCTGCCACACACATCCTTTGCTTAGTGCATCTTTGTGCTGTCTTCCGGTTTTGCAGCATCGAGATTCCAAAACAGGGGAACAGGTTTTCTCCTGGGTTGCAAACTGGGTGAAAAAAGGATGAATTCCAAGGTGCCTTCCTAAAACATTAGCTGCCAGACGAATAGATGAGCGTGCACAAGAATTCCGGGGAAAATTTAGCAACCTAAATGAGCAATTTGCCAACTAGACGGCATTTCATTCACATTTGACTGCCCGGTAGTAGGAGAGTATGAAAAAAAAAATATTTCAGAGCACTGGGCAGGGTGGGGGTAGGAGATGGGTGGCACATTAACGCCTGATATTACCTTTGCATGAGGTGGGTCCCTCCAGAATTAGCTCATTCCTTACCTTTACACATTTAACTTTGTATTTATCCTCCTCACAAAATCGTTTGGAACACAAATCCAGGCTGGTAGCCAAAACCTCCTAACTCTTTCCAGCTTCCTCTTCCTGTATGGAATGACACCATGGACAACCCCAGGGGTTGCTCTGCATTGCTGAGTTCGTTCATCCTGCGGGGTCCGTCCAAGGGAAAACCAATAGCGACTTGTGAATTCTAAGGAAAAACCGAAACAATCTTTGCAGGTCCCACAGTTCCTGCCGATCCTTAGAAGCAATGATAAAAGTAGGTTGTTAAACTTGGAAACAATAGAAAACTTCCTGGAAATTAACAAACTGCCTTCGGCAAAAGACTCTCTGTACCCAGGGCGCACAGATTTTGCAATAAATCAATGTAGGAGACTTAACTCCAGGATATCACCTTCAGCCAAATTGCTGCTGGTGTTCTGGAAAATGTAAACAACCTTAAGGCACAACCGTTGTGACCTCATCTTTTTACTGCCTTTTTTTGATTCTTCCTACCCTCGATTTCTCTTCATTAAAAACAAAACAAAATTTTTAAAGAGAGTATTTTGTATTCTAAAAATTGAAGTAAGACATCTCAGCTGTGTTTTGGAAAAATGTAGGTCGGGAAGAGGAAGGAAGGAGAGAAGATTTATTCTCTCATGAGAGACCACAGTTCTGTTCCAGAACATGTGGGAAATTCTGTATGAAGCTCTGGGTAAGTAAAAATAGGATGGCTTTCTCAGATTTCAAACTTGACCACAAATCTATGGTAATCAAAACAGTATGGTACTAGCACAAAAATAGACACAGAGATCACTGGAACAAGATATAGGCCCCAGAAATAAACGTACATTTACATGGTCAATTAATCTATAACAAAGGAGGCAAGAATCTACAATGGGGAAAAGACCGTCTCTTCAATCAATGGTGCTGGGAAAACCAGACAGCCACATGCCAAAGAATGCATCTGGACCACTTTCTTACACCATACACAAAAATAAATTCAAAATGAAATAAATAAAGAAATAAACAAACAAACTCAAGATGGATTAAAGACTTAAATGTAAGACCTGAAACCCGTGGGGTGCCTGGGTGGCTCAGTCGGTTAAGTGTCCGACTTCGGCTCAGGTCCTGAACTCACAGTTTGTGCGTTCGAGCCCCGCATCGGGCTTTGCGCTGACAGCTCAGAGCCTGGAGCCTGCTTCAGATTCTGTGTCTCCCACTCTCTGCCCCATTCACTCTCTCTCTCTCTCTCTCTCAAAAATAAATAAACATAAAAAATCTTAAAAAAAAATAAAAGACCTGAAACCATAAAACTCTTCAAAGAAAACCTAGGCAGTAAACTCTTAAACATCATAATATTTATTAGTAAAATTTATTAACAATATTTTTCTGAATCTGTCTTCCCAGGCAAGGGGAACACAGGCAAGAGTAAATAAGTGAAACTACATTGCACTAAAAAGCTTTTGCACAGCAAAGGAAACTATCAACAAAACAAAAAGACAACCTACTGAATGGAAGAAGATATTTGCAAATGATATATCTGTTAAGGGGTTAAAACACCAAATATATAAGGAACTCCTACAACTTAACAACAACAAAAAAATCTGATGACAAAATGGGCAGAGGACTTGAATACATTTTTCTAAAGAAGACATACAGATGGCCTACAGTCACATGAAAAGATATTCAACATTATTATGCATCAGGGAAATACAGATCAAAACCACAATGAGCTATCTACCCTTAGACGGGTCAGAACGACTGGTGTCAAAGAGACAAGAAAGGACAGATGTTGGTGAGGCTGTGGAAAAAATAGTGCACCATTGGTAGAAACGCAAACTGGGGCATCTACTATGGAAAACAGCAGGGAGATTCATCAAAAAATTAAAAACAAATACCCTATGATCCGGTAATTCCACTTCCCGGTATTTATTCAAAGAAAAGGAAACCGCTAAAGTGAAAAGATACATGCATTCTATGTTTATCGCAGCATCATTTACAGTAGCCAAAATATGAAAGCAGCCCGTGTCCATCGAGAGATGAATAGATAAAGAGGCGATGTGTCTATACAATGGAATGTGACTCCTCCGTAAAAACGAATGAAACCTTGCCATTCATGGCAACACGGACGGACCTTGAGGGTACTATGCTGAGTGAAAGAAGTCAGACAGGGGAAGACAACCAGCATATGATTTCACTGTACATGGCATCTAAAGCAAAATAAACACACAAACCAGTCGACTTACAAATACAGAGAACAAACGGGTGGCCGCCAGAGATCAGGGAGGTGGGAGGATGGGCGAAATCGGGAATTAGGAGGTACAAACGTCCAGTTGTAAAATAAGTAAGTCACAGGGATGAAATGTGCAGCATAGGGAATAGAGTCAATAATATTGTGATCACTGTGCACGATGACAGATGGTAACGATACTTAATGTGCTGAGCACTGCGTAACGTACATATTTGTTGAATCACTGTTGTGCCCCCGAAACTAATATTTTATGTCAACTCTACTTCAATTTAAAACTTAAAATTATTAAATGGCTTTGAATTTATATCACTACAGGCAGCCCCCAACCTGAGAAGCAGTTGGGTAATAACGGTTGGTTCTCTAATCTGTTGTTCAGAGCTTAGATTTCTTTTTTTCCGTAGAAACGTCATAGATGACTGAGCTCACAGATCAGACACGAAGAGCTGACTTACCTCCACGGTGTCTGCGAAGCGTAGGACTTGTGGGTCTGCCTCAAATTCAACTAACCACTCTTCACCGTGTTCTCCTGATGGGAAGACTTATATCAAGTTCCGACTCACAATTACAGGCATAGATAGTCCAGCCCCCCCCCCCCCCCCCCCCCCCCCCCCGCCATCTACCTCCCTGCTCGTTTTGAAATTCTCCCCAAAAACACCAGGACCTTCCTAATGGAATGAATGAGAATTCGGGTCTCTTGTCTCCAAACCCTTTCCAGAAGTTATCCCTCAAGATCTGCATAAAAGGTGATGTTTGGGTCAGTCATTCTTGAGGTCTCTGAATTAGGAGAGCAGAGTATTACCTGCCCCCCCCCAAAAAAAACCCTGTAGATTCAGACCTCCTCTACTTGATGGGTCATAAGGTGTTAAGACAGATAGTATGACTGAAAGAGCACTGAACTGTGGGTCAACAAACCTGAATTCGAATCTTGACTTGACCATTACCTATGTGACCTCGAACGAATGTCTTGACATTCCCTGGGCCTTAGTTTTCATTTACTTAAAAAATATTAAATAAATATCACATCCAATTTTTGAAAAGACAGTTTTTAGCTTTCATGAGAATTTCAACAGAATCTAGCACCACCAACTAATTAAGAGCTGGAAAAAATGATATTCTTTTAGCCCTGGCCTTTTAAAAAAAAAAAATGTTTTTTTTAATGTTTATTTATTTTCGAGAGGCGGGGAGAAGCAGAGAGAGAGGGAGACAGAATCCGAAGCAGGCTCCAGGCTCTGAGCCGTCAGCACAGAGCCCCATGCGGGTCTCGAACCCACGAACCGTGAGATCATGACCTGAGCCACCGGCCACCCCAGCCCTGGCATTTAAATTCGAAGTCTGGTGGTTTTTAGTTAGAAACTGCCTCATAACAATTTCCTCACCAACTGAGTATTGGGACCTCCAAGCCCTCTGGTATCATTCTCCTCCTCTATCCTAGTTAAATAAGCAGAAGGACAAATAAAAGCTTTATAGCCTTTCTACACGATTTCTTATTCTCTGAAAATCCTTCCTTTTGTGGTCATAAAACAGCTATCACTTCCAAATCCCCAACGTCCAAACGCGAGTTTTTACACCGAGTGGACTAATTGGGTAATTTCTAGGTTTTTCCTTGGTGACCTGCACACTCTTTTCTCCCCCGTCTCTTCCATCAACTCCCCCTTCTACTTCAATTCGCTTGGCGTATTCCTTGCTCCGAAGTGTGTTGAATCCAACACAGAGGTAGATATCGAAGATCAGCCTCGCAACTTAGAATCATTTTTTTTTTTTTCTTTCA